ATTTACAATCATCAGGAATGACTAATTCTGAAATTAATACTTTATCAAATATTGGACTTAGTGTTCATACAAAAACAATTCAAAGATATAAAAAAGATATTGCAAAAGCTCATTTAACAAAACTTAATAAATATTTTAATTTAAATATAAGTTATAAAAATTTAAATTTTTATTTATTTTTATTTTTAAATTTATTTAATTAAAATAATTATTTTTTAGTCAAATATTTTTTATTGTTTTAATATTGATGATTTTTATAATATTTATAGAAAATATAGACCAAATAAAACTTTATTAAGTACTGTAAATCATATGGCAATATGTGTAGCAAAACCAATTATTAATACAACTTTAGCTTTGGCAACTATAAATAATAATTTATCTAATAATTGTTTATTTTTTAATTCAAACAATATTAATGAATTTTTAATTATAAAATATTTATATTCTAATATTATAGGATTATTTGATATAAGTTATAATATACAAAAATTTAATTAAATAGCTAATAATTTTCAACTAAAAAATTAAAATCAAATTGAATTATTTACTATACATATATATGATGATGCAATAAGTGAATGTAAAAAAGAAAGATCTATAAAAAATATTAAAATAATTAATATACAAATCAAAATTTAAAATCAACAGAAGATTATTTAAATATATTAAAAATAATTACTTCAATAAAATTATTTTAACCTTATCTTCAAAATTATATTATACTAATAATTGCTGATTGGCCAGGACAATATTTTAACTAAAAAATTTTAACATATTATTATAAAAAAGTTGATACACCAGAATTTAATACTATATTAGTTTCTGAAAATATTAGTAATTTTATTCCAATTATTGGCTCTCTTCATATTTCATTAAATTTTTGTAAACAAGTTATTCTTGTTTATTATTTATTTTTTAAAATTTTTTTTTACTATTTATTTGGTAATAAAAAAAGAATTGCAAAAAAACCTAAACCTTGGAGAATTAATTAATTGCTTGAATTAATTCATGATAGTCAGAAAAAAATATTACAGAAAATTTTATTACAATTTGATAAAAATTGCAAATAAATAGAATATAGAATAATATTAGATCTTTTGAATAATTTAGTACTAGCAACTTTAAATATATATGCAATTCTTTTTAGATCTGGACACTTTATTCAATATTTTAATACTTATTTTGATTATGAATATTTGCATTATGATAGAAAAAAAAATTATAATAAAGCACTACTAGCCTTTATTTTTAATTATCTTTATTAGTAACAAATTAATTATTCTTTAGCAAATATTATATTGCAATCTTTAGTTAATTTTAATGATTATTTTGTTAAAAATTTTCATAGTTGATTATGAGCAAATATTAATATTAATTATACTTTAGACAGTATTATTAAACAATCATATTTATTAGATATATATAATAATCAATTATTTAATACTTTTCATATAGAAAAAGTATATTCATATAAACCAAATCAATTAGATTATTTAACAAAAAAAAATAGTTTATTTTTATTAGAATATTTTCAAAATATTTTTCAAAATATTGAAAAAAGTAATTTAATTAGTAAAACTAAAGATAGTATTAAATACTTTATGACAATATTAAATAAAACTCTTGAGCTTAAACATTTACTAACTAGTTTTATACAGCTTATTTACTATTATTAGATGCTTGTGATAAATATACAATTCTAATTAGATATTCAACTAGTAAAATATATATTTGTGAACATTCTTATCATAACAAATATTATAATTCAGTTTATAAGTATTGTTTAGAATATTATAAAAAAGAAATTTATAAACAAGTTACCTCATTTAAAAAAGGATTAGAAAAAGTTGAAGTTGATAAAGATATTTTTGATAATGAAAATATAAATGAAGATAATTATAATAATTTAGATAAAGAAGATAATAATGAAATAGAAGAAGATATAGATTATAAACTTCAAATAGCTATTAATAATATTAATCAATAGATAACTACAAATACAATATAACTAATTAATAATTATTTATATTATAAATTATAATTTTTATTTAAATTAATATATATTATTTATAAATTAATAAATCAATTATAAAAAATAAATATAAATATATATCTTAAAATAAAACATTTATATTAATTTATTACCTACTATAATATACTAATTCCTAACCATTATAATACTAACTTATCATAGCCCAAACTATCATATCAACAACTCATAGTAATACCATCTCATTATAATACCAACCTATTATAATGCTAATCTATGATAGTACAAATTCATTATAATATAAACTTATTATAATACCAACCAATATAATGCTAATCTATCATAGCATAAACCTGTTATCCATTATAGTACCAACCTATCATAATACTAATATAATCTGTGAACAAGTTTTATATTAAGATATATAGTAGATAATACCAAGAAAATATTATCAAATCATTTGTAATTTAGTTGTAACAACCTGAGTAGAAATAAGTAAACTTGTATATCCATAGATCTAATTATCAAATTCATAAAATACTAATATATATTCATTGGTTGCGGCATTATGAGTTAATTTATCAACACTTTTACTTTCTAATTGTTCATCAATTGTACATGATTATAAACCTATAAATATAAATATAAAAATATATAAAACATTAATATGGGTTGACATTAAAATTGTTCTACCTTTGTCATGAATATTTTTCAAATTATTAAATAATTCCTGATAAAAACTTGGGTTCAGATTATTAAAAGGTTTATTCAGTAAATATACTTATGGCCGGTAAAGGTTAATATGAAAACTTGGAAAAATTTTTTTAACTAGTTAATAAATGTTATAAGCTATATATGGGGTGAGTCAATAGAAATTAAGCAAATTTTTTATAATAAAAATTTTTTATAATTTTAAACAAGAATAACTTAACAAAAACTTGACTAAATTTAATAAAAATTTTTTTAAATAATTTTTACAAACTTGTAGAATTAATTTAAAAAAAAATTTATTGAATTTGATCAAGTTTTTGTTAAGTTATTCTTGTTTAAAATTTTAAAAAAACTTATTAAAAAATATTTGCTTGGTTTCTATTGACTTAACCCCATATAGTAAATAATATTAAATATTTAAAGTTCCAAAACAAATTAATAGTTAAATCAACAATTACTTAGGTATTATTATTAAATTTCTTAATATTTCATATACCATCTAACCAGAGTGCTGAATATACCAAGCCAAATCTCCTTTTTCAATTATTTTCATATCTGATAATCTATAAAATAGAATCTATCTTTATGTATATCGGCCCTAAGTTAAATGTTTTTGTGCAATCATCAATATCCTTATTTCTAATAGTACATCTTATTGTTATATCAAGGTTATATATAATATAAAAATATATAGAACATTAATAAATATTATAAGCTATGCATGGTAAATATTTAAAGTTCTGAAACAAATTAATAATTTAATTAAAAGTTATTTAGATATTATCATTAAATTTCTTAATATTTCATATGCTATCTAACCAGATTGCTGAATATACTGATCCAAATCTTCCTTTTCGATTATTTTCACATCCGATAATCTATCAAATAGAATCCATCTTCATGTATATCAGCTCTAAGTTGAAATGGTCTCATGCAATCGTCAATATTCTTATTTCTAATTGTACACCTTACTGCCATGTCAGAGTCACACATAATATAAAAATATATAGAATATTAATAAATATTATAAGCTATGCATAGTAAATATTATTAAATATTTAAAGTTCTAAAACAAATTAATAATTTAATCAAAAGTTACTTAGATATTATCATTAAATTTCTTAATATTTCATATGCTATCTAACCAGAGTGCTGAATATACCAATCCAAATCTTTCATTTTGATTATTTTCACATCTGATAATTTATCAAATAGAATCCATCTTCATGTATATTGGCTCTAAGTTGAAATAGTCTCATGCAATCATCAATATCCTTATTTCTAATCATACCTTACTGCCATGTCAGGGTCATATATAATATAAAAATATATAGAACATTAATAAATATTATAAGCTGTGCATAGTAAATATTATTAAATATTTAAGGTTCTGAAACAAATCAATAATTTAATCAAAAGTTACTTAGATATTATTATTAAATTTTTTAATTTTTCATATACTATCTAACCAGAGTGCTAAATATACTAAGCCAAATCTCCCTTTTTGATTATTTTCACATCTGATAATTTATCAAATAGAATCCATCTTTATGTATATTGGCTCTAAGTTGAAATGTTTTTGTGCAATTATCAATATCCTTATTTCTAATTGTATACCTTATTGCCATGTCAGAATTACACATAATATAAAAATATATAGAGCATTAATAAATATTATAAGCTATGCATGATAAATAATATTAAATATTTAAAGTTCTGAAACAAATTAATAATTTAATCAACAGTTATTTAGATATATTAAATTTCTTAATTTTTTATATACTATCCAACCAAAGTATTAAATATACCAAATCCTTTTTTGATTATTTTCACATCTGATAATCGATCAAATAGAATCTATCTTCATATATATTGACTCTAGATTAGAATGTTTTTGTACAATCATCAATATCCTTATTTCTAATCATACACCATTTATTGAACTTAAAAAATCTTTTTTAAGAGAGATAATTCAACATCATTTATTAAAG